GGTGCCGTCAACGCCAATACCTCCGCCATGGCAGGACGGTCAAGCAAACTGTGTGTTCTATTAATTTCATCTCCGTTCCTATCACAACGATCATAAACACAACGTAGGGATCCCGTGCGTGGGCGATCACACTCTAACAATCAATTTCGAGGTTTCAGGTTAATTTATACAAAAACGATGGATCATAAAATTAAAAAAAAATAAAGCCACGGTTCTACAAATGCAGCCTTTACTATATGCGTTCTATATCTTCTATTGAAAGACTGTAGACCAGATGGGTATAATATTCAAACATTGCTACTAATGAAATGTAACACACGAAAAAAAAAAACAAATGTATGACCACGGGAACAGTAAAAACGGGTTATGTAGCCCTTATGATACGAGCTGATCTATCTCTTACGTTTTGACCACGTTAAGGGCAAGTTGTGCTAGTGGCAAATTTATAATGTTGAAAAATCACAGTATTAAATCTTTTAAATTTGTCGACCCTCTTAACGGAATCCCTTTATGAAGAGCTGTGAGTGTGTTGGTTTATTTCCTTTTAATTGCGTTATAATTGCTAATCTTTTGACATATACGCTCATTTCGTCTACTACTTGCAGACTTCATCAGTGCCAAGTACTCAACACCACTGTCAAAAGATAAGCAATTATAACGGAATTAAAAGGAAATAAACCAACACACTCAAAGCTCTTCATCACAGTATTGCAAAAAGACAAGTGTGAGCTTAGCAGTAACGGATTGGTAGAAGGTTTCAAAAATAATTCGTGCCTAAAAATAAGACGCGTATACGATACCGATTATCAGGTTAAAGTGCGCCATTGTTAAATTGTATTGTGAAACTTATGCTATATTCCGCATTTATTGGTAAGGTAAATAGATGTTCTCTTGCCTGAAGCATACAAGCTAGATTACCTTCAATAACGTTGAATGTACGCTAAAACAAGGTAAGTTTGTTAAACTTATGTGGATGAATTTACATTAATTGAAACCGTTTGAAAATCTCTTTAAACGAGGGTGCCACTCTTGGGCACGAGCTGAAGGATTCTTCGACGATATACCTGAAACTGAGGCTCACCATATTTTGCCATTTTTGTATACTAAAACTTCAATCAAACATACAACACCGACAAACCATACTGTAGAGGGACCCCATACTTTTGATCGATAACTTGAATAACTATTCAATAGATTTCAAGCAAATTCTTAACCTTTCAACCAAACTTTCACTTTCGTATGTTGATGGGTATAGAATAAAGTTTCTACTAAAACTTTAATTTTAAAATTTGGCCGACCTAATTCTGCGTATTTTAGAAAATGTTGTAACTTTAAGCAAAGATATTTCATTCACAAGATATCCCACAAATCAATTCCTCGAACAAGGCAATGGATACACCACCCTTATGCGATCGCAGTGCCATCTCGTGAGTGCACATTGAAACTGTTGGGAGTCCCCCGCCAACTTCACCACCAGGGCTCAATAAATGACAGGTGTCAGTATGACATATGCCAGCGTGGACGTTGATGATCAGCCGAGGGAAAAGGATGATCGATGTCATCATCAGCGCTGCCATTTATACAGATTTATCTGTATTATACAGATTTTTTAATCTTAATACAGACCCGATACAGAATACAGATTTATCACAGATTTTTAAATTACAATACAGATTTATACAGATTTTTATAAAATGCTTGAGAAAAAAAAAATCTATATCAAAATAAGTTATCAAGCAGTTCTCACTAATATCAATGTATGTTATAATTTTGATATTCTTCGCATATCTTTTAGCTCTCATTTTTGTTCTGTTAGCCATCAACTCCATCAAAATGAAATCAATTTGAGTTATCAGGAATAATGAAAACAACATAATTTTTGTTTTCATTTTGGTCTCACCCTCTGCTCGGGAACCTATCAAATTTCCATCGACAATTAATCATGTTATGGTGTTTTTGACAGCATTCACAACCAGAGGACCAACCGCTTTCGGATGCATATGGAGCTGGTAGTAAACGATTTGAGATTGTATGGGGATTTACAGTATTAATTGAATATTTCCAATATAAGCATGTATGTTAAATACAAGAAAAGTGCCCGAGCACATTAAAATGGTACAAATACAAGTACTCGTAAACATTTTACTTGCATTGAAAATGTATTTCGTAAGAAATTGCGGATTTTCTGATATTCTCCATACTGCAAAAATGATTTTACCAGCACTGGCGGGGCGACATCTCTCTACTTTTCGGTGTAACTACCACACAAATGAAGTAATTAATTGTATTCATCTATATTAAAAATATCAAATAGTAATGAACTCGTGCACTTTTTTGCATTTAAAACTGCTTATCAGGAAGATAATGAATAGAAATTTAAATCTCCATACATTTTCAAACGGCTTCATATCACTCTTATAAATAAGTACGGACGATATCACAAATGGCGCAATTATATCCCGTATGGTTAGTACGGTAGCCCGAATAGGTGGTTAAGCACTTTTTATGGTTATTTTGTATGCACTGTATTTGTAAAACAACAAAACATGATTAATTAAGAAAAAAAAATCGTCAATACAGAAAATACAGATTTTTTAATAGAGTGGATACAGATTTTTTTATAAAACCACCTGGCAGCTCTGGTCATCATCATTATATTGCGATAGCAAGATTCCCACTTCGTTATGATTGCATCCATTTTCAATCATTACCACGTTATATGCATCAGAAAAGCTTGAGAAAACAATAATAAATGCAGATACGTCCCTTCGAAAAAGTAATCGAGAATTGATGATTTATGAAGCTGTTGCTCAACATAATAGAAGTTGCATAGAAGTATACATGAAAAAAACGCAACGTATCGAAATCATTGCTAAACAAACGAAATAAAATATGCCGTCTTCCTTGGCCAACGCTGCACGCTTTTGGCTATTCGAAAATTACGTTGGAGTAATGATTACTTTTCTATTTTATAAAGAAGGTATTTTTCAATGACGGCGAATGAAATCGTAAACTGAAGCTGCCGATGCTGAGTGATGACGATGAGTGATGACACCGCTTCGTGTTTTGATTTGCGCTGTACCCTCCGCTCAGTGCTGTGGGTTCGTATCGTACATGTATAGATGATGGTGTGCTTGTTTTCTTCCAACGCTGCAGTTCAACGTTGTATCGTCAAAGACCTATTGGCGCTGTTATCTGTCTCTATAAATTCCAAAGAGTGAAGGGGGTCTGCTTTAAGAGAAGTTTTTGTATACACAAAAAATAGAGTGTCATCAAAATACATGGTATGTTGAGAAATTGTGCTCGTGAAAGAGAATTTTCTCTCTCAAATTTGATTTTTTGAACTCTCTGGGGACTGGTAGCAAAGCGGGTAAAACTATTTCGGGAAAATCATTTTTATTAAGTTGTAGCTTGCTTAACAATAATATCCGGAAAATAAGTGAACGTCAAAGTCCATGAATGATTTATTTAGGCTGCCGTTCACTTTTTTTACCTGAATATGCATTGAAAGCAAATTATTACCACTTTTCTCAATTTATAAGTGGAGATTTTATTACTTCCTAACAGCGAAACCACGCCACCTTTGTGGAAAATGCCTTGAGGATTTGATTAATTCAGAGCTTTCTTTGCCATCCAATGCATGTATTTTTAAATTGTGTGACAAGCACAATGATAATCTATGCCCAGCGAAGTCAAGAAATTTCCTAACCCGAAAGATTTCCTCGACCTGACCGGGAATCTAACCCGCCGCCTCCGGCTTGGTAATACCCCTTTGAAACGTATGAATTTGTTATTATTGTTATTCACTTTTCTAGGTGTTTGTTACATTGTGTGAAAAGAGTATCCCTCCAATGCAATCTCTTTTCCATCAACGTTAATGGCTTTGATAGTCTCATGGGAATATTCTGCGGTGCCTTTCATATAATGTTCGTATTGCGGATTTTGCCCCCAATTAGAGTCACAGCAGAAACAAATTGTCACACCCAGAGCTAGTAAATGTCATGGAAATTGTATGGGGAAAAAAATTCTCCTCGTTTTTCCCCGTTCGTTTTCATAGTGACATATTTTTGGAAAAAAAAAGTCTCGTTACCACCTCTGGCCACACCACAAAATGTTGCCACCGTTTTTAGCATACATTGGTTGGTTTCGTTGCTAAATTTGAATAAGAACTATTCCACAAATTGTTTGGATGATACCCCGAACACGTCGTTAAGTAAAATAACCATAACACTTTTATTAGGATGTGCACAAATGTATTCATCGACCAAATATTTTCACGATAGTCTAAGCATCAAAGCAAAGCACAATATTATATTCTACCAATGGCGGTCGCATGGTTTATATGAGCTACGCTTTGCTCTTACTACTACACCTGCCATTCGAGCATAAACTCATCTGCTCTAAGCTTTGAGCAGCACAGGACAATGTTATCTTGTGACTGGTCCCATTCAGAGTGACATAGCGACAAGCTCACACATGCGAAAGGCATAGGGAAAAATCGAAATTGATTGAAATGAAACAGAATTAAATTCAGTGTTTACACATTCCAAAACAAATAAAATCAATTTAGCTTTGGACAGTATTAAATGGAAAAGTCATTAATAACGCCCGAGAGGACAAGAGCCACACCAAGGACACCAGGAACCTGTATCAACTGCAGGGGAATAAACACCATGATCAGACTCATTGGACTCGGTCCTATTCCAATAATTGAATTTTCTTCAACGGCCACCGGACCTTTGCGGAGCTTATTTATGTGTACACAGTGAGAATCGAATCGCCCGAAAAAGGTCTCAAACAAATGGTCGAAGTTTTGGGGTTTACCTGCAATGGAAATTGATCGTAATTATGTCTGGAAAAATAAATTAATTTTAATTGAATCAACTTTAACTCCAGGTAGGTAGTGTATATACATTTCTACCAGCTAACAGGTAGGTAAGTACACAACGATGGATAGGAAAGATTGGATAGAGAGTAAGCTTCAAACGGATTCAGCCACATTTAATTCTATTTACTGGCCTGTATTGCAATATTTTCTATATAGATGTTTCATTTTGATTGAATGTTGCTGAGCGCTCCACGAAGGTGGGATGTCGAGTTAGCTCATTCGGCATTGGCGTAAAATGAAAAGCTCATCACTTTGTTCAGTTCGTTACTTCCGGGAGATTGATGGTGTGTAGTGACACTCACGTGATAGCTTCCTTTTGGAATAAAGTTCATCAACGTGCTGCTATTCTCGAAGGTGAAATCATTCACAGTGTAATGACCCTGGAAAGAAATACAGGAATATTAGATTATACACTATATACGCAAGGAGAGGTAGCCTTGGAAACATTTGCAGTGTCACAAACAGTTCGGTTATTATTTTTAGGTATCGAATTATATTGATCGCTTGTTTGAATTAATTGTATATAGGTCAATGAGATGGAATGCTAATATTGCAAGAATTCGTCTAAAATAAAGCTTACAAAATGATATCCAGAGTCCGGGGATGGAAGCCACTAAAATTTCAAACCCGAAAAGATTCATTTTAAATGTGGAGAAATTCGAAACAATATGTAAATCGTAAAGTGTGAGATCAAATTGAAAACTAAATTTGATGTTGTGATTTCACTGATAATTATTACTCAGGCTACTGGCATTTTGGTTGTTTTGACGGTTAAATTATAAAAAAAAACCAAACTAAAAAACAACACTGAAAATTAATTCAATCGCGTAAACTGAAATCAAATTATAATACTAAAATCAAAATCAAAAATATCAAAATCTGATTTTGATTTGCTGTCATTTTGATGTTGAACTTTGCTTGGGTCTTTAGTACATAAGATTCACTTATGGCTCTCTAGTGGCTTAGGTGTACTCACCGGTTCATAGGGGCACATCAAACCAAAGCTCACAAACTTCTTCGCTTCCGTTGAAATAAATCGTACCAGGGGATTCTCTGCCATACTGGGATCAGTTTTGCAGGTGTCTAGCATTAGATCAACTACAGGCACATACGCATCATTAATTTTCTTTGAAAATACTGGCTTTACCTATTGATATGGGATATTGGGTGATTACGGTTTTTATTCGCTATATGCATTGAAATTTTACCCAGAAGTTTCCTTCGATTTTCTTTAGCAGATCACAGTTCAAGCCAATTGAGTACATTCCGCTTTCAACTTTGACGTTGATTGTACCTTTGACATACTCTGGGTTCATTTCACTTGTCAAGTTTGAAAAGCGAACGCCGGCATCTACCTATGTGTGAAAATGTTATTAGTTATAGAAAATCACGTTTTGACACTTCATAGCATACTTACAAGTAGATTACGGGAACAGAAGAAAGCCAACAAAATAATAAACCTCGTCATTGTTCTAACGTCGATGATGGACTCAACTGACGATTCCTATAGACATTGTTCCAGTTTATATAGCTCTTGAAAAGATTTTATCATTTCCAAAATAATTACTAAATGATTGATTATCTCAGCTTTGGCTGCTGGATGCAACATCCGGCGTAGGGTAATTTGGACAATTGAGGTCGTCTAAAAAACTGGTGTTCAATAATTGGAATTGCACTGCTGGATTGCTTTGCGTGCCTTTTTCACCAAAAATAGGCCAACTGGAAATGCAGCACTCATTTTCTGAAATTTGATTTAGTAGAATTATAATTTAACACAAAAGGACCACTATTGTACAGTTGTTTAGTACTAGTTGTACTCTAATTGACCCTATCCTAAATTTCACATTCTATACTTTTTCTCTAAATTTATTTCGATAGGTGCTATTTTATTTAGGTGCTAGAGATAAAACCTGGACATGAAATATAATCGCTTTCAAAAATGTCTTCAATATGAAATTAAAATTGGATTGACAAGCAAAAAATCGACACTTTAGAAGAAGCAAAAAATCGAGCATTTAGAATAGCAGTTATTGATCATACATGCTGACAGTCAGGGGCATAGCAAATGGGGTGAGGGAGGGAGGAATGTAAGGGTTTAATCTCCCCCCAGAGGAGGTTATTATAAAAAAAATATTTTTATACAAAATATGAGTTAATTTAAGTGATTTTTGCTATAGACCTACTTGCCCTACATTGACATGTAGAATAAACATTCAAATCAGTGCAATGGTGTTTATGTCAAGTACCCAGTACACAGCAAAAAAATAATTTTGATATCACATCAAAGTGGATGCACTACAATCATGTCGAAAATTTCATGTAATTTTTATGACCACATAAATAAACAAATGCAGTAAAAGTAGCGTAATGTCAGTTCATGCATTGTATTAATGATAATTTTGTCCTTTTTAGCAAGTAATATTACACCATATTTTCGACATGATTGTAGTGCATCCACTTTGACGTGATATCAAAATTATTTTTTTGCTGTGTAGACACATGTTTTGGGTACACATGAAATCAATACGTAAGGATCAGATCTTACCATAGGTAGATTAATTGAGGTTTTCTAATTATCAGCATTCAAAATGTCACTGTTATTCTATCGTTACCATTCAATGATTCAGTGCATTTGTCAAAATCCTGACAGTAGTGTCGTCAGTTTGTGCAGCCTACACAGAAAAAAAGTTGTTGAATATTTCATCGAAACAGCTGCACAGAGTTCATTCCGCTGATTGTGTAATATTACGTTGAAAAATCCATTGATGTAAAATTGTATCTTCTTTTTTCTATTACATCATTATTTCATACATCACCTTGAATTACGTTGATCGATATTACATTTTTTTTTTGCTGTGAGCAGTGAAGCAGCCATATACCCGAGCAAAGTCTGAGATCAAATTGAAAACTATATTTGATGCTGAGATGTTGTTGATAACGATTGGTCAGGTTGCTGTTGTGTTGGTCGTTTTAACGGTTAAAATATCAAAATGGATCACGCCATTCAAGCAGTTTTAAATGATGTTTCCTACCACTTGAACTTTGTCGTTTAATAATATTTTGATATTTTTTCTTCTATAATCTCGAAAAATTAGTGTCTTATTTATGCTTAACTTGAAAAATCTGCACACTAAAAAATAATGAAAATTACATGTGACGTAATATGTATCAAACGATAAAAAATCGAGGATGTAATTCAGTTGTACATGTAATTTTACAGCTTTTGGTAACTGCTTCAAACATGTAAATTTGCAAGCTTGTCAAGATGAAATATCACATAATTTTTTTTGCTGTCTGGAATTTATTGCTTAATTTTCTTGAAACCACTGATGGAAGGTCGTTCCAAATCTGCTCGACAATATGATTAATTAAAATGATTACTCAAAAGCCCTTACGTTATTTGTGAAGGATCCCTTGATCTGCGTAACATCAATTTCTGCATGTTTTTAAAACAGAAAGAACAATTTGTATTAGGCTATGGAAAGTTTAAGGAAACATCATTAGTATCCAGTAAGGAAACATCATTTGTCAAATTATTTCGCATCTTTTGATCAATTTCGACTTCCCATATAGCATAATTTATTTGACCGAATAAAGACATAAGCCCACAAAAACGAATAAAGACAATATATCCAGAGAACCATCCCATCCAAATAAATGTCGATACACGATTACATTCCGTTGAAAACAGTACACACACACGTTCTACGGTAGTGCTTCAGTACAAACAAAGCAGCAAAAAAAAACCATTAACTTCCAAGCCCAAATTTGCCGCCCAACCATAACAGCTGGGTCTGGGAAAACGACGTGTATTGAGAGGACGGAATCGCGAGGGGAACTCACTTTCGTTACGCTTGCTGATCATCATGTGCCCGATTCGGTGACTCGACTTTACTACCTTTTGCTTTGCAGCAGTGTAGTGTCTCCTCTTCCCTCGCAACCGACGCGCGACGGCGACGCGTTACCCTCTGCTGCTCGATTTGTACTCCACTCCATTCGTCGACGGCGGTAAAACAGTAGATGGGTATTACTATTTGCGGCTTCGAATTTTACGCGGTGTGGCGATTTGTATTGTTTTTCTATGAGCTCATTTTCCGTTCATGAGCCAAATGTGATCTAGTAAAAATTGTGAAAGGTAGACAATGAACAGATGGAGAACATGGAACAGAGAAACAAAGTAAAATAACTAAAAGTTTTTGTAATGTTTCACATTTCTCCTTTAGCAGTGCTGATAGAATGCAAATCGTTGTGGATGCTTCTTTATGCAAATTATCTATGGTTTATGCGTATTGTACCATAGGTGCGGCACGCCCGTTTCGAGTATCTTACAGCGAATACTTTTGATCACCTCCCGAGTACCATATTTCACAATCACGTGAATGGATTTCTTTAAGAATCAGAATAGTTCCCGCATATCTTCTAAGGCAGGGGTTTTCAAGCTTTTATAGGCACACCGAAGTAACCATCGTGTCCGTTTTAATTTGCTATACTAGCCTTATATCAGCACTATATTGCACTTTTTGCATTGTTGGGCTTAATGGTTACTTTGGCGGGGGCACTAATTGAGATAAAAATAATTTGAGAAGCACCGATTTTAGAAACATTTTGAAAAAACACATTTCTTATCTCTCAGATTTTTATTACTTCATGCGTGTAGTTGACGATTACAAAGTGAAGGAGACAGTTTATTAACAACAATGTCAGACTTAAGGTAAACATTTATTAGCTAGAGAAAGCGATGAGATAATATAATTGATAGCTCCGTTAGAGTACGGCAGTGTAAAAAACATGTATAGGAACATGTCTTCTATACAGTAATCCCTCAATTTATCCCGCTATTTCAACCGCATATGTGGAGGGATTGCTGTACATGCTTTTTCACTGCCATATTCTAATTCTGGTGTTTCAGTGCTTTCTCTAGCTAATAAATGTTCACCCTTAATCTGATCTTATTTTTAATACAATCTTCAAATGTTTTTCATCTACAACTCATATAGGTATACAGTAAACTCTCTACATCTCAATATTGAACGGATCTTCGAGTTATAGAGCAACAATCCACAGGAGGTCACCAATACAATACCCATGCAATTTTTTTTTCTTGGTTCCATAATTTATTATCGAGTTAGCAATTTGGCGTGATGAAAATACGTTCGTACTACGTAGAAGCTCTGAGATTTTTTCATTACTTCATTGAAATTGGTAATACTCCAGAAACTTTGTATATGTTGGGTATTTTCAGGTATAATTCAGGTAATTCAATAGACAATCGGTGAAGTTCTTAGAGCTTCAGAGAACATTGTAGAACAGTTGACAGCCAAACCTCCTTGAGAGATAGACGTAATTCTTATGTCAGCTATGTGCCGCGTAACAATTGGCTAGTTTCCTCCAAGGATGGGTGAGAAATGTGAGAATAAATTGCTAGTCGATTTCAGTGTATTTCCGAAGCGACCGGATGCAGCTGTTGTACAAAAGTTTATGTACGGGAGCATGAAGTCCAACATTGCGAACGCAATAGACATTCATGTTCGGAATTGTGTTAATGTCGAGATGTTAGATGAAGCAATAGCCAAGCGCTACTATAAGTCCCACCATCTACAGCACGCAATGAAATGAGACAAAAAGGAGTAAACAATTCCTGTGTACGTAGAAGATGAAGCGGTTAACGTTCGAATCCATGATCTTCCTGGTCAAACACGATGATCAAAGAGAGCATGCAACCGTACGGTATCATTCTCTCCATTCGCAGGAAAGTATGGAAATATTATTTTTCTGGCATCTCAATAATCACATTCCTTCGTACCTCGTACAATCGATGGGAAGAAGCCCATCCACGTTAGAGGTGAGCTAGTTCCACACGCACTACAAATATCGTCTAACGATCGGATACTGAAGACGACGCCGACACCGCACACCCTAATTCACCATCACTAGCAAACAGTGGTGATGGTGGAGAACTACAAGTAAACGCACAAAACAACGAGCTATCATCAGGACAAGCAAAAGAAACCATCAAAAGGACACAACAGCAACCGAGGGACAATGAAAACAATGGTAACATAAATTTGACGGATAGTGAGTCGGATGAGTTTAGCTGAGTAGAGATAGCGATTTGCTTCCTTCTAAAAAAAATGGGCCTTTTTAAAGCACTTACAATAGTGGCGCCGGTAGTGTAGTGACAAGCGTGATTGTCTCTCTCTCCAGCAGCAGGCCTGGGTTCAATTGCAGTCGGCGCCACCGGGATGTTCTGAGGCATAACGCCTTCCTCCGTTGGTCCCCGGTTCATGAGTTAATGGATTGATAGGTAGGGTCCAGGTGTGTGGGAGCTGCCTCCCTGGCGTTGGTAGCATTGGTGCTCAGCACGGAAAACAAATCAAGGAAAAAAAAAGAAAAAAAAGCACTTACAACATTGTTAACCATTAAAAAATATTATTTTAATAAAATACCGTAGAAAAACGCTTTTAAATGGGGTACTACCGTTTGTACTCTA